ACAGTTGCTCAAGACAATAAATGCATTACAAATATTAATAATTACTAAATTCACAAAAGTAAATCCTTTGGAATTGCATCTTCATGAGATTAAATAGGGCTTCTTCCTTTCATAAGGAGGCTTGGTTGAGCGCCTGCTGGTAACGGACAGGGCAGTGATTTGAACCCACCAAGTGCTCTGCAAGAGAAAAGACCGGTTACTTTACTTTACTTTCCATAAAGGTGATAGCCTTGGAAACCCTGTGGAGCATCTCTGCTCTATCCTACAGGGTCAGTATGAGTCAGACTCGACTTGACATCTCAGGGTTTGGTTTGGGTATCTTTTTGTTTTCATTTAGTTGATGTTTCCGGGTGTGAGTGCCATTGTTTTTAGAATAAGACCAGGTTCAGTATTAATCTTTATCTTTTTTTTTTTTTTTTTTTTTCCAATTTATACCTGTAAATATTGAAAGCTATAAAGAAGTCGAATGGAAAGACTTCTAAATTTCTAGTAAAGCCGTACCATTCAATACTTTAAACTCTTTCTAAATTATACGTGAAAACTCACAAAAGAACTTTCAGTGATTGATAAGTTGACAACCTGGTTGAATATTCCTTAGATTTTATTGAAAAGCAAAGGATTAGATGATCTGCCATCTAGTTACTAAATTATTCCCTATTTCAGTTTTTGACGAGTAAACCAAAAAGGCAGTTCCTAGCAAGTGACTATTAATAACATCTATAATTCTTTCTCTTGGTGGCAACTCTTTTAATATTATAATTCCAAGAAGATTTTAAAGTATTAATAAGCAAAGGTGTTACTTTGAGGACTAAGCTGCCCCTGGTCCCAGTCATGGTATTTTTAATCACCTCATATCCATGTGAAATCTGGACAATGAATAAGGAAGAAAAAGGAAGAATGCTGGCGTTGGTAAAGAATATTGAATGGACCTCCAGAAGAATAAACAAATCTGTCTTGGAAGAAGTACAGCCAGAATGCGCCTTAGCAGCGTCTCACGTCCTTTGGGTGTCTTATCAGGAGGGATCTCTGGTAGCGTAGTGGTTACGAATTGGGCTGCTAACCTTAAGGTCAGCAGTTCAAAACTACCAGATGTTCCATGGGAGAAAGATGAGACTTTCTGCTCCTGTAAAGATTTACAGCCTCGGAAATCCTGTACAAGGTCGCTATGAGTCGGAACCAACTCTACAGTACTTAACAACAACATCAGGAGGGACCAGTCTTTGAAGAAGGATGTCATACTTACTGAAGCAGAAGGTAAGTGAAAAGAGGAAGAAGACCTTCAATAAGATATAATGACACAGTGGCTCCAACAAGAGCTCAGACGCAGCAACGACTGTGAGGGAGGAGCAGCAGCCGTGTTCCGTTCTCTTGTCCCTAGAGCTGCCATGAGTTGGAAGCGACAGTACAACGTCACAATCAATATTTCATATGCTTGGATGAACAAATGAGCCCTGAAAGTTCAGCAGTTAATTGCTCTACTCCAAATGGAAAAGTTGGCAATTTTTACCCAGCAGCTCTGCAGAAGAAAGACCTGGTGATCCGCTCCCTGGGGGCAATTCGACTCTGTCACATGGAGACGCTGTGATTGGAAATTGACTTGACAGCGCCTCGCCTCATGGTATCACCACTCAACTGTCAGTCTGTC